CTGTTAACAAAATTCAATATAAAGGCATTAAGTCACCAGTAAATCCCTCACTGACAAAAACTGCTAACCATGTTTTTTCCCTCTCTCTACTGCTATCTCTCCTAGTCCCAGCACTCCTTCTCATTCTATCTCCCTTTAATTCCCAGGGCCCCACATATCCTTTGGAAAATAGCAAATGTTTCCTTCACACATGCTAGACCCTAAAATAGAAACACCCACCTAATCCTTTCCCTCTGGTACAGTACATTCCATTCCTGGTAATGGGTGAGTCTGCTGGGAGATGCTGAAAGGGCAGGGTGACTACTGAACGATCTGAAGACATGTACTTCCTTGGGGAGAAGAATTAGCACACTAGTTCTCATAGGGATACAGAAGATAAGCAGAGGTAACCAATCCTAAGGTGCAGTACGTGCCAGAGTGAACATAAGAAGCATATTAGAAGAATTTAACTATAAGTTATATCAACTATAAGTGCTATAGACAAAAAAGACACTTGGCAGGAAAGAACTTCTCTGGCAGTGCCTTTCAATTCCTCCTTGAATCAGAGTCCTCAGTGTGAGACAGGGAGGTCTCTATAAACCCAACTCACTCAGAACTTACTACCCTCAAGTCATACTCTGAGTCATTTCCCAAACAATTTTTATCTCCCAAGGTGAGAATGTGACAGGCAAGAGATTCCATTTTTTAAATTATTACTTTTATTCCTTTTAAGCTTTTTTAAAATTGTGATTTGGTTAAAAGTTACACAGCAAACTGATTTTCCACTCAACAATTCATACGCATTTTTATTTGTGACATTGATTGCAATCCCCATAGTGTAACAGCATTCATCCCACTTCTCCTCTGTGTTTACCCTTTCCATTTGTCCTTCTTTCCTATCCCTTTCTGCCTTCTAAGCTTTATTCTTGGGCAAATGCTGCCTTTTGATCTTGTATGGTTGATCATTCGAAGGGGTACATACTCTCTGGTGTTATTTTTCACCTTATAGACCTGTCTATTGTTTAGCTGAAAGCTGAGACACAGGGGTAATTTTGATTCCGGGCTTAAAGACTGTCTATGGGCCATGTTGATGTTGTTATGTGCCGTCGAGTCAGACTCAACTCACAGTGACCCCTCCTTGGGTTTCCGAGGCAGTATCACTACGGAAGGTGATTGCCCAACCTTCCTTCCAAGGAGTGGCTGGTGGGTTTGAACTGCCAACCTCTGGTTAGCAGTCCAGTGCCTTAGGTACTATGTTACCAGAGCTCCCCTATGGGCCACAGTCTCAGGGTTTTACCAGTTTCTAACAGATCAGTGGACTCTGGTAGCATAATGCCTAAGGCACTGGACTGCTAACCAGAAGGCTGGTGGTTCAAACCCACCAGCCACTCCTCGGAAGGAAGGTGGGGCAATCTACTTCTGTAGTGATACCACCTCGAAAATCCAAGGAGGGGTTGCTATGAGTCGGGTCCGACTCGACGGCACATAAGAACAACAGCAGATCAGTAAGCCTGGGCTTTTTTTTTTTTTTTTTTTACAATTTTGAGTTTGGTTCCACATTTTTATCCCACTCTATCCAGGATCTTTTATTGTGATACCTTTCAGAGCATCAAATGACTTCCCCAAAAGAGTAAAAAGAGAACCTATAGACTAGGGGGGAAAAAAAAAAATTGGCAGTGACATATTAGACAAGGGACTAATCTCTAAAATTCATAGAAAATTTCAACACCTCAACAACAAAGACAAACATTCCAATTAAGAAATGGAGAGAGGCATGAACAGACATTTCACCAAAGAATAAATTCAGGTGGTCAAAATATATATGAAGAAATGCTCATGATCATCAGCCATTGTTGTTGTTGTTGTTATTGGCCATCGAGTCAGACCTGACTCATAGCGACCCCTCTTTGGGTTTCTGAGACATTATCACTATGGAAGTAGGTTGCCCAACCTTCCTTCCGAGGAGTGGCTGGTGGGTTTGAACCGCCAGCCTTCTGGTTAGCAGTTAAGTGCTTTAGGCACTACGCTACCATCAGCTATTAGAGAGCTGCAAATCAAAACAACTATGAGATATCTTATCAATCTAACATTAATAGCAAAGTTCAGAAAAAGAGTTATACATCAGTTGCTAACGGGTTTCACCTTCAATCTGACTTCCACCTTGGCTGGGGCTAAAACGGGGGTGGAGGCATATGCCCCCTTCATTACCACTAACCAAGTGAAGGTAAGGGAAGCCAGGCCACCTGGGTCAAGCGCTGCCTCTGACACTTAGGAGAGTAGACCCAGGGCAAGTTTTCCTATGCTTCATTTTCTCATTCATTAAAGGGGCAAAACAGTAAGAATACTCACTTGAAAGGGTTGCTGTAAGTATCAAATACTATGAATCACTTAGAACAGTGCTTTCAGTAAGACTCTGCTATTGCCTTCACCATGACTATCACTGTCATTACTACTGCCCACTCAAATCCAAGGCTGGTCCTGGGCCTCAGCTTGTTTACCTATGAATATTTCTAAATCCATACTTCCTTCCACACGATTTTCACCATTTACAACCAGAACTCCTGGTCTAAGCTAACTTCAGTTCACCAGGCTCACCATGTCTCAGTAACTGGCAAGCTTACCTGCTTACCTGCTTACCTTGCAGACACAAATGAACCACATGGAGACCCCAGCCACACTCAAAATACTTACACTTGTTTCCTACTTTCCTAGATTTTGTTGACATCTTTAAACAATAAGGGCTTATCTATCAGCAGATAGTCAAGGTGGATGGTGTGTGCCAAGCTTGGAGAAAGCAGCTGACCAACGCCTGTGCCTCTCTTCTACCCCTATTTTCTGCACCTTTGGTGCCAGCCAGCAGATGCTCTCTGGAAAAAGACTATTCCCCAGAGGCTGGGCGATCACTATTTCTTTACACAACTCTATATTGGTTGTGCTAAAGTAAGCATGTAGTTATCATGAAATTAATAAAAAGATAAAAGAATGACTAAATATGACACCATGCTCAATCCCAGACAACACTAGATTTACTCTCAGGTGGAAGTCATAGTCCTTTCTAAAAGCTGCCCAATTTCACATAGGGGTCTCACATTTGCTAAGTAACCTTTACCAGCAGACACAAGCCCACCAGACATGGTTTGAGGGCTAAGCAGTTATGGTATTGACAGACAACCTAAGTCACATGTGGTTCCCTCTTGGTAAGAGGCCAACATCTGCTGTACTATACCACGTATGAAGCACAGAACTGTCCCAACAAAGTATTTCCCCACCCTGGAATGCAATCCCCATGACAGCCTGTGAGACTGTGTGAAGACTCTACTTTATATGCAAGGCTATTGTGTGTTGAAGACTCTGTAACTAGCAAGGGACATAACTGAGATCCAGAGCAGGGCTGGTAGGCCACGGGGCCAGGGTCCCTCCACTCTGCAGAGCATCTCTGCCTCATGCCTGCCCGCTGAGCTCTGCCTACCTGAGGCAAGGTGTGGCCTACATCCGGCTCTCAGAGCACCCAGACAAGCTACATTTCCATCCCTCCTTGAATCCTGCTGACCCACTGCACTGTCACTCTTGTCTTCAACAACCCTCACACTGGTGAGTGTTTTGTATGTGCTCCATGAACTGAACAGTAGTAAACAAATGCCAAATGCCAGAGGAATGGAAGGCCACAACAAAAGGTCACCTCTGCACACTGAGGGCATGTGGGCTGTGGTGGACCATAGCTAACAGTGGAACCCCAAACTGATGGTCCAGGAGGTTTGAGAAGCTTCTGTGTGGGTAAATATTCAGAAGACAGACATAGATTTTCTTGAGTTTTAAGTATTTCCTTAAAGCTGGGCATAATGTCCTTTTAAGAGAAGGTAGCATTCTAGGAGTAAAACCAAACCTCTCATGCACTGTTGACAGAAGTATTGAATTTGGCTGATATCTATTAAAATTTTAAATTTGTTAAAACTTTCATCTAGCAATTTTACTTCTAATGATGTATGCTAAACTTTGTTCCCCAATATGAAAGTTGTTAATAACAACTCATTAAATAACCCCATAATAATATGCTAGTCATGACTCCCACACCACCAGGCCTACCTACCATGGAGCGATGCTGCTCTCTCAGAATTGCACGGCTTACTAATTTGGTAACTCAATACTATCTTTAGCACGTTCTAGTAGCAATCAGCAGCTGCCAGCTCCCTGTGCTCAGCTCCTTCAATAGTCAATCAGGGCCCTAGGAGTCCACTGGGGAGAAGAGGAAACAAATATCATGCAGATAAATTTTTATAATCAATTTGAACTTCAACTAAAAAACTTAAGTAACAGCCAGAAGACAGAACACGCTGCTGCAGGTTCTGACTTGCTCGGGAAAGGAGTGTCTCAGATGCACAACAGGCTTGGCTTTCTCCACCTGAACACGGGTGGGGACTTGTTTTTGCAAGTTTCCTAGGTCCATTCCACCCCATTAAGTACACTCCATCTCCAAGCTGAGGAACTAGTGTTTTCAGTTATACAAGATCAAAACAGCACATATCGTAGCACAGGCATGAGGCCACCCTCCTCCCAGGGGTTTGTGTACTGCAACGGAGGTGTTACAGTCAACAGCTGACAGCAAATCAATAAATTCTGAACATGCTGCAGGGAAATGTGTACAAAGAGTTGTCAGCATGAAGTGAGTATCATCTGCCAGAGGTGAAATGTCCACTTATTTGGTCTGAGTGATTAAAGACAAAGGTTTCTGAGAATCTAGTAGCAATAACTAGAAAACAAGAGTAACAAAAGATGATGAGCAACTCCATGCTGCCAAATGTGCCCTTGGCCCTCATTGTCTGCACAGGTGTGTAGGGTGGGTCGGGGCAAGGTCTGGTCTGCAGAGTGGGAAGAGCCCTTCCCAACCCACACTGCCACCAAACCTCAGCCCAGGAGCTGGGGGTGGGGAGAGGCTTAGCTTGCATCCAGACATGCACCTGAGTCTACACCAAACTGCCAGTCGTGCAGAGGTCTAAATGTGACCCTTTAAAACGTGGACTCACCTTTGAAGTTGCCGATGTACAGGCCGGGCAGGATCTAGGAGAAGGAGAGGCATGAGACATGAATGTTTGCAGAGCCTAAAGGCCAGGATGCCCCAAGTTTGTCTGCCTGCCTCACCCACCTCCCCACTGTATCCCTGTCTCTAGCACCGATGCTCACACAAACACTCTGTTGGGGATGCACACTGGTGTCATGCTCATTAAGCTCAGGGGGTTCAGCTCAGCCACAGCACACCCTCCCAAACATATCTGCTCCAGGAGGAGTTGCACATTGCTCTGCTGCTCCCACCAAGAAAGTAGACCATGCTATGGAGTGGCATGTTCCCTGCAGTGGACCTTTTCAAGCATCTCTTGGACGACAAGCTGCCTTGGTAAAAATTGATAGCACAAGTGCATGTTACTTCAGAAAGACTCCTTGGTGGCAAATTTCAGACCCACATTTGAAAGGAAGGATCAAGCTGACCACTGCAGGATTCTCGGAAGGAGCTCTGATGGCATAGTGGGTAAGGCATTTGGCTGATAACCAGAAGATTGGTTGTTCAAACCCACCAGCTGCCCTGTGGGAGGAAGATGAGCCAGTCTACTTCCATAAAGCTTTACAGCTTTGGAAATTCAAAGGGGCTCGTTATGAGCTGGAATCGATCAACAGCAGTGGGTTTTTATGGGACCCCTTGAGAGTGAAAGGGGAGCTATTCATAATTACTCAGACCACAGGCAGGTGTAGGATGACCAGTTATCCAGTGTATAACCACTCTGGCTGGCCCAGACCCCATGGGAACAAAAATACTCCAAGAGAGTACTAGGGTGCATCAGGGCAGCCCACACCAGCTCTGTGACTAGGAACATGAGAGATAATATCTAGAAGATAAACAGCATCTGATGCCAAAATACTTGAGTCTTTCTTCTAGAAGAGTGGTGTAGTACTTTGTAATTTCTGCTTTAAATCATGAGAACAAGGCACCATTCATCGTGGAGAGAGCTCAACCCGGTGCTCCTCAGCAGCTCTTGGCTGCATTCAGCTTTCTCTCATGTGATCTCCAGTTCCCAGGATCTCTCAAGCTTCATGAGAATGCTGTACTTGACGATAAAGGCACAATCATCATATGGCTGTTGTGGCTAATAGAGATCACAACAAATCCATTATATCAGTGGCCTGTACAATGAGCTGTAACACAGACATGGGTGTCTGCCCAAGTGATACAACGTGCATTGCACAGCAGCATGGCAGATCAGCACTGACTGAGCACTAGTGAATTCCTGGAAGATGGTGGCATGAGCAGTTCTACAATTCTGCCCACCTCCCCATCCCAAAAGTTAGCAATCAGTAGAATGGGTTGTAATATCTCTGAAAAGCAACTGGAGAGTTTTAAAATCACGAGGAACACCAAATGAAAAAAAGGTGATTTTAAAATACAGTAAGTCCCCAGGTTACAGATGTCTGACTTACAGACAACTTGTACTTGTCCTTTAATGTTATGTAAATTTGCCCTCACTTTGAAATAACTGAATCAACCTCTTCACAAAACAAATTCTTCATCACAATCACCTTCACTTAGTGCATGTGCAACTTTAAAGTCATTGAAAAGCCTTCGACCCTTTTCTTGCACTAAAACCAAAAAACCAAACCCACTGCCATTGAGTTGATTCTGACTCATAGTGACCCTATAGGACAGAGAAGAACTGCTCCATGAGGTTTCCAACTCTAAATCTTCACAGAAGCAGACTATATTATCTTTCTCCTACAGGGCAGTTGGTGGGTTCAAATGACAACCTTCTGATTAACAGCTCAGTGCTCTAACCACTGCTTAAAATAAGGCTAAATAAGAACTGTATGCACCTGTTTCTACTTACTTACAAATTCAACTTGATGACACACTTAAAAACAGATCTGGTTCATAACCCAGGTTCTGCCTGTGCAGGTAATCCCTGACTTACAACAGGGTTCCATTTCAATGACTGTCATAAGTCAGTTCTCATGTAAGTCGAACACCTCATTTCTTTTTTTTTAGTTTCATCATTATTATTGCCTTTTATAGGAGCTCTGGTAGTGTAGTGCCTAACGCACTTGACTGCTAACCAGAAAGCTGGCGGTTCAAACTCACCAGCCACTCCTCGGAAGGAAATGGGGCAATTTACTTCCATAGTGATACTGCCTCAGAAACCCAGGAGGGGTCGCTATGAGTCGGGTCCGACTCGACGGCACATAACAACAACAACACTGCCTTTTATTAACTGTATCTTTATATAAATCTAATCTTTGTCTTTGGGAGTTGGAAACATTACATATAAACTTAGATATATTTTAATACATGCATACGTAAAAAATACACAAATCAATTGTCATTTGGGTCCATGTTTTCAAGCAACTGAAGCCCCTGACTTAGTTTAGAAAACTAGATCTACATAAGCAGTGTTTTAAATAGTAAATCATAAAATTGAACATCTGTAAAATACCATCAGAATTTTGTCACTATGAATAACTCCCCTTGTGGAAGGTTCTGTTGTTGTTGTTGTTATGTGCTGTTGAGTCGGACCTGACTCATAGCGACCCCTCCTTGGGTTTCCGAGGCAGTATCCCCACGGAAGTAGATTACGCAGCCTTCCTTCCAAGGAGATGGAAGGTTCTAGATCATCTGAATTATCCCTGGGAATGGGTGTCCTGGTTTTCTAGTGTTCTGGTCTAAGGCATTTGACTGCTAACCAGAAGGCTGGCAGTTCCAACCCACCAGCCATTCCTCAGAAGGAAGACTGGACAATCTACTTTCATAGTGATACTGCTTCAGAAACCCAAGGAGGGGTCGCTATGAGTCGGATCCAACTCAACAGCAGTGAGGTTTTTTTTTTTTAATAATAGACATTCCACAAATGGATGGCTTTAACAAACAGGGATTTATTCTTTCACAGTTCTGGAGGACAGAAGTCTGAGTTCAAAGTGTTAGCTGTAGGGGCTAGGTGAAGGCCCATCAAATGTGGGCTTTAATTTTGTCTCCTGTTCAAGGTTCTCTAGAGCTGGAGGATTTTTCTGACTCATGCAGCTGCTGGTTGCTAAGGCTGACAAACCCAAGATTGACAGGAAAATGGCACAAATCCAAGATCAGTAGGCAAGATGGCAGGCCACTGAGATGAAGACTCTACCAAATGCAGGATCCAGATGTGTCAAAAGACATTTCTCAAAGCTTCTTCTGATATACTGGAAGTAGGCCACATCCTAAAGCCAACTACTTACCTGCTTACAGCAGATTCCACCATGGAGTTGATTACCAATCTCATCATGGGAAATAAATACATCCAGCTGCCCAGCCACTCAAAACCACAGCTTAGCCAAGTTGACAAGCAACTGTAACTGTCACAATAAGGATGACATTTCTAGTCAGAAAACTAGTAAGCATTGTCTGTATAGTTCTTTTTTTAATTCATGGATTTTCTAGTAACATCTCACTGCTTTCTGAATTTGCCTATTGACTTTAACAAAGCAATTAGAATTTGGGTTCATGTTTTCAAGCAACTGAAGCCCCTAACATAGTTTAGAAAACTAAATCTACGTAAACAATGTTTTAAACATTAAATCATAAAACTGAACATCTATGAAATAACATCAGCAAATTATATACTGCAACACTGTATGCAGTACATATTACTAACAATAAAATATACAACAATGCCCCCCAAAAATGGATGGTCATAATTGAAGTTTGTTGTAACCTGAATACATCTTAAGTCGGGGACTACCTGAACAGGAAAACCTTATTTTATATCATTAGTGTCCTTCTCCCTCACCCTCTCCACTTCCATGGCAGCAGCTGTGGCAGTAACAGCGGCAGCTACATTGGTGGCAGACCTTAGACCACGCTCTCAGAGAAAGAGCAGTTCTTTGGCTCTTTTTTCCTTTGCAGAACAGATTGCTTTTAGTTGTTTGTGTGTGTTCTGAAGTGTCTGGGGGCTACCTGAAAGACTGAAGAGGGTTTTCTCCTGGTTTAGCCAACTTCTAAGCTCTCAGAGTTGGTCAGAGGAGGGGGAAGCAATAAGCAATACCTGCAGGAGATAGACACTCTTAATCACCTGGAATCAATTAGCATAATTTAAACACACAATAGGCTGCCAAAGGCTGAAGGAGAATCACTGGTAGGAGAGTTTCCAGTAGAACTTAAGCCTTTCAAAAGCACCTAGTGAATAGGAAACTGAGAAGGTTATATGCATGCACAGGGCAAAACTCAGGTGTATCAAACACTTAAGGACAGCCTATGAGTCAGGTCTGACTCGATGGCACATAACAACAACAACAACAACATGCTTACCTCAGGCTGAGTGCTAAGCACAGACCCAAGTTGCAAAGAGTAGGAGAGATGGCATGTTTGTGTTTTGTTTGTTTCTTATCCTTCTTCATTTCTCTCCCTCTCCTTCCCCCCCACCTTCTTCCTTTTTATTGGAATACAAAGAAATCTCTTTTGAAACACAAGCTGGGCACAGAGTAGGGAATAATGGCCATAGTGTCCACGCATATCCGAAATGCTCCAAAAACAGAGGAGGTATCCAAGCAGACAAACTATTAGAGAAATTGTTGTTGTTGTTATTTGCCATCGAGTCGGACCCAATTCATAGTGACCCCTCCTTGGGTTTCCGAGGCAGTATCACTACAGAAGTAGATTGCTCCATCTTCCTTCCAAGGAGTGGCTGGTGGGTTTGAACCGCCAAACTTCCGGTTAGCAGTCAAGTGCCTTAGGCACTACGCCACCAGAGCTCCTATTAGAGCAATTAGCAATAAATAAAAAAAAAGTTCAAGTCCCAGTTGCAACAAAAAGAATCACAAGACATACAAAGGGACAAGAAAGAATGGTTCATTCAATTAAACAAAATAAATGGACAGAAACTATCACTATGGACAGAAAGAACACATTGAAAAAACACTGTCAAATATGCACAAAGAATTATAGGAAAACACAGACAAAGAACTAAGAGAAATCAGGAAAACAATACATGGGGGAAAATATGACTAAAAATAAAGAGATAAACGCTATAAAAAAAAGAATCAAACAAATA